TTTCCCATATTAACCAATGGTTAATGAATCCATTCCCACATTCAAAGTAAGTCCCTGATTTTTTTTTTTTTTTTTTTTTTTTTTTTTGCAAAAAAGTTTGGTGGTCTGTAATATTCTCTTAAGAGATTTTTACAGAGTGTAGCCAGCCATGGAGGTCATGTGATGTGATGGCAAGCACAAATTCCAGAAAAATTGCATTAACCACTGTTTTTGGTGGTAAAATGGAATTAATTATATTTCTATTCATATTTCTACAATGCACTTATTATTGTGAAATATGGATAACTTATGAATAGTTGTTATCCCTTTAAGTATGGAGCATGCACCTAAAATAAAGGCAATACAGACCATCCATTCAAAATGAGAGGAAAGACCTGGAATGACATAAGAGCTTGTGACTGAAGTCAGTTTTAACTTTTAGACTAACCTTTTCGTCTACAAAGACAACAGGAAAACTCATGCAAAATTAAACTCGTCCTGTAACAAAAAGGAAATAGTTTTTTTAAATGTTTCTTGTGTACTTTTTACAAAAGGTCACAGTGGATATATATTACAGATTTATCCCAAAATGATTTATACTTGAAACAGACTAAAATTTAGGCCTTAAAGTTCAGACTAATTTTCGCTCTTAAATTCTTTTTTGAAAGTGACGTCAGAATTAAAATCTTTACCAGATTTGACCTGATCTGACCTGCTGTTAAGCATTCCTCTGGTCTGAGGAAAAACTTTGACATACGGGCTAAAATAATACACAACGACTTAGTGGGAGTTTAATTTAAAACCTACAAGATGTGACTTCACCATTTTTTGCCTTTGCTGCTACCAAAGTATTTCCCATTTATTTATTCACCAAAGCTCTAATGTGAGTGCACCACTGTTCATAGTGAATTTTCTATTATTAAATTGTGTGACAGCACAGTTTTCATTATTGTGAATATTTATGTAACTATTCACATTTAATTCCCATATGCCAACTCAGTTTTTCCAATCCAAAATATCCAGTTGCATAACCATCAAAAAATATACTGCATAAGTAAAGAAAGATCTCCTCAGATGAATGAAAATTCGACCGAAAATTTGCCGTTCAACTCCACCTCTCCCCCACACCCCTCTACACATGGACACATATTGCTGCTCCATGCATGCACGCACACATACACGCACACACGCACACAGACACCTTGACACGAATTTCTGTAGCAAAACTCCCTTCAACCTAACATAATCATCTTTCTGGTCCATCAGAGACTGTATATATATATTTACAGAATTAGCCATGTGTCAATGGCATGGAGGAGAACCAGGGTGTTAAATTATTCAAACTAAGCAAACACAGACCAGTTAGAGCAGAGGAGGTGAAAACAAAAACTTGGGTCTCAATGGGGGAGTTTGTTTTCTCAACAGCTTAGGGTGGTCTGTTGGAACAGCAACATAGGGGTGGGGCCAGAGCCAAAACAATAATACTTCTAGAAATTCAATATTGATTTATAAATTGAATTTCTCAAATAAACCTGGAAGGCTAGAAATATAGAAAATGTTGACAAAGTGCCTAAATTGCATTATAAATTATTAGGAAAGGAAAAAGAGGGGAGAGGGTTATGATTTCCTGACAAATAGGTTAATCCTTGTTTGTGGGCTTTTGAACTATTATGGTTTTATTTGTTCACTGGTTTCCTACTGCATTCATGCTTTTCGTCACTGTACACAGCTTTGAGCTCGGTATTGAAGGTATACTGTAAGATTATGTCAACTTATTGCACAAAGCATTATAATCTGGCTAATGTTTGGAATACTTCTGGAATCCGACCAGTTCTAATGTACTCAAGAAAATGTTAAGATTTATGAGGAAGGGGGGGGGGGGGGTAGGTTGACCCCAACATTATGCATAATACCTGTATAAGAGCATGTGGGTACTAAAGAAAAATACTGTCATCTTTCATTGTAAATAAACAGAAATATGCAACTGGTAAATTAGTCTTTGAAATAAGATTACAACACAACCCTATTGTTTAATTCCTTTTCCTTTGTTTGTTTTTGCTTTTTCATGTTTCGTATGTCCTTCACATAAAAATGGTTTCCAGGTCACAACATCAGCCCAGACAGCACAAAAAGTCACATCTTTATTCACAGGTGTACAGCACCTATCGTATAATAAACAACTGGATATATCAATTACAAGTTATTCCGATTTATCCAAGAAGGCAATGACAAAGCTAAAATATCACTTACATATTACACCCAGACTCGGCAGCAAAATTGACAGGTCCTAGGTATCATTTTCGTGTGATAGTGACTCCATTGACAAGCGACAAAGCTGACCTGCAGACTTGGGTCTTGTTCCCATACCTAGATCGATCCAGCAGGATCGACCCATCTCTGAGGGTTTTCTAGCTAAACTACGTGCAGCTTAAGCCGCTCTGATATCTGGCATGCCAACTGAAGCTGCTAATCGAGAGTTAATTACCCCCTCACAGCTTCAGTGGGTGTGTCAGACATCAGAGCTGCTTTAGCTGAATGTAATTTAGCAAGTAACCCCTCAGAGATGGGTCGTCCTGATGGATCGATCTAGGTATGGGAATGGGGTCTTGGTTACTATATACATATATATCATTTTCACAGGCAATATTTGTGTAGCTTTACTGACCGGTCAAATATATCAACTCAGCAAACCAATGGATAGCTTTTATATGCACAGCTTTTTTTCTGGGTCCTTTATTCACTCTCTTGAAAACTGACCTCCTCTCCCAAATACAGTGACACAGAAATGACCTCTATTATCATAATTATTTTCAGTAAAGGTCCAAGATGACCAGTGAGGTTCAAAATATAGTGGACAGCGAGATATTCTTAAGACACCTTATTCTCAAACAGTAAGAAACTTGACCAATTCGTTACCAGTAGTAAGTGAAACAAAATAAATGCAGCTCTTCATTCCCAAGATCTCATTTCCTTGTGTAACAACTGTTACATATACATCAACAATGACAGTGATTGTATTTTGGGTATCAGTTACATATAACAATAGCAGTACACATAATGATGGAGCTTGCCCAACTTCCCAGCCCAAGGTCCATAACTTACTGGTATGGCTGGACTACTAGTATACTATTAATTAATGTTGTCCAGTGAAACCAGTACATATCAGTTATTCACCTGCACATTTCAGTTAGGCACATGTATATTACATGGGTGGCTACAGGACTGAACAATATTTTTTGTTCAAAATAGCGCAGTTATGCTAGAAATCAGTTTATGTAAGCTGCTATTGAATTGGAGGATAGGAGTCTTGAGCTGACTGTGTCTGAATACTTGTTTTGTTTTTGAAATATATATCTAGAGTAACTGCAAATAAAAACTGATAATCACTATGGCATAAATGCAAAAATATGCCGTCAGCATTTATGTTGGTCAGATTTGCTATAAAAGTTTTGGACAAACACACTATTAAACTCTAAGGAAGACACAATGTGATAACTCGTACTAAATAGTCAAACAAAGGGGAAATAAATGATGAATAGCAATAAAGAATGTTATTACTATTATTATGTTTTAATTTATCTATCCTGGGTCTTCTCAAGAAAATGGACTGTCTATTTTTGGATGTTTTTTTCCAATGTAAATAATTAAGTAAATTGATCCTAAACTGATTTTGGAAGAGTTTTGAGCTGCCTGGAGAAGAAATAACAAAGATGACCGGTCTTAT